TTTAGATTTTTACGTTTTCATATCTTCTGCATTAAGAAAACATTATGATAATTGTAAAACTGAAATGAAACTTCGAAAATATAATTTCGAAACCTTGCTGAAAACTATATACAGGGTGTTCCATTTTAATCACTACATACGATTATCTCCTATACTATTCGTTATTTGAAAAAATGTTTCATACGAAACTTTTTCTATTTCGAGGGGGACGTAATCCAGTGTTGCTATATTTTTTGTAAATGTACGCTTGGAGCACACACAAAGATCATTGTTATTTTTTTAATGGAAACATAATTTCTTATGCACGATTCAATGCTTCTCGGAATTCTGAATAAAAATGTATTAGCCTATTTATGTCGAAAAACTATTACTTTGGAATATATTTTATTATTGCGAATCCCTATTATTAGTACATAAGATGGTAATTATGTAGAAAAGGAAATCTTAACTCTGATTTTGCTGAACTTGGGATATGTTGTAGAGAGACAAGTCCTGGCTAATATCATTTGTCCGAGGTCGCAAAACGGTCATGATTTAAAAATTATGACAAAAAGAAAATCGTAATTTTCGACATAACACTTTCTGTTGCCTAAGAGATATAATTGTATCCTTTTCGTATTTTGCGGTTCCGTAGGGCTAAACGACAAATCTCTATTAAATCAAACTAAAAACAAATCTATAACAGCTTTAAGCTAGACCTGCAAAATGCGAGGGAAATGTAATCATATATATTAGAAAACAATAATTATTACCAATCTCTGTTTTGTAAGATGTCGAGGTGTCAAAGGAACAGATGTTGAACTACAACAAATGTCGGTACTGAGGAACGTAAACTTTGAACAAATATTTTCCGCGAGTTAAATGGCAGGAACTAGCTGCATTCGAGTAAATGTAGGGTAAGAAGGAGCATTTTCAAATGCGTATTATTCAGGATCTTCCCCTCCACAACATATTCAAAGTTCAGCAAAATTGCAGATAAAGCTCCCTTTCCTGTGTAATTACCCACCTACATATGTACTAGTAATAGGGATTCGCAGTATTAAAATAACTCTCAAAGTAACAGTTTTTTAACATAAATAGATTAATATATTTTTATTCAGAATTCTGAAGAGCATCGGATCGTGAATAAAAGATTATATGAACCATTTAAAAAAAAAAAACGATAGCCATGTATCCTTCAATCGTA